TTATTCCACAATATTACTGCTTGCACAATATCAATGCAGCCTTGGTGAGCGAATAAATCACATTTTTAAATATATTCAAATAGAAAACGGTTATTTTAAATTGTAATATTATTCCACAATATTACTGCTTGCACAATATCAATGCAGCCTTGGTGAGCATAAGAGACTTCGTTCAAAAACATCTTAGTGTAATGTAAGTGTGTCCATACTGCTCTCAGTCTTTGGCGTGGATCTTCGGAGCCAGAAGTTCACATGTCGGTCATCCAGCAGCGACATGCACAGGGTGATGGTGAGAATATTAAAGAAGTTATAATTCCCAGACAGGATGATGAACAACTGTAGCAGAACCTGTAACACACCAAGTTGTCACATTAATGCACAAACTCAGGTCAACTTCTCTATTTCTGATCAAACACACACACACACACTCGCTCACCTGCATGTAGAAGGCGACGAGTCTGTGTCTTCGTATGGGGCTGAAGAACATGAAGGGAACAGCGATCTCGATAACAAACATTCCCACCACACTGAGTTTCTGGAACCACACCGGCAGCTGATGAGCAAACCAGGCCAGCGGGGTCGGTATAAACTGGGTCTCATAGTGATAGGTCAAAGCTGATGAGACAATAACAGAACATAGTGTTTGACGGCGAATTGACATGAATAATTTGATGTGTATATTTTATTTCAGACATAATAAAAGCAATACATATGTCTAGTGGCAGCACTGTCATAACTTTCATGGGATTTACTACTTATACTTAAATTAGAGTAAAATGTGGAAAAATAAACTAAGGCTAATGATTAGAGTGGAATACTAGCATGCTGCTTTTTTAACAGATGTAAAAAATAAATAACTCTCTCTCTCTATATATATATCTATCTAGATAGATAGATAGATAGATAGAAAGACCAACAATACATAAATACTAACAAAAGAAATAAAAATAAGTAAACAAACTTCACTTTAAATTCCAGAATAGAGGCATCAGCTACCTAAACATTATGCATTTAGGCTTACAAATAAAAGTCTTAAAAATAATAAACCATTTAATTGTTTATTAAAATGGAAAGGAAATCTTAAGCAAAAACGTATAAATAAATAAATAAAATTTGCACATTTATTTAAAAAAAAGGCCATCTTCTCAGCTATTCAAACTAGTGACATTTTTTAAATAAATAGCAATGTTTCAGATATGCTTTAAAACTGCTGAATGGTTATCATAAACTGCTTTCTATTTTTTGTTACATTAAACATTTCAGTCTAGCACAATATAACAATATATTCTGCAGTCATACTTAGATGCGGTCAGCGGTGATAAATGCAACTGCTTAATGTCATCGGTACTGGACTAATAAGTGAAATAGACTGATATATTTAATCCAAATATAGCCAAATGATCATGGAACACATTATTTTCAGTTAGTCTACCTACAAATAAAGACAAATAAATTATTTGCTTACAGTCTATAACATATTTTATCCATGACATATCGACTTTCTGTATCTTTATTCTTCCATTATATTTTTCTTTGAACTTTTTTTAAAAAGAAAAACAATGTTAAAATAGCGTTTTTGTTGTTGTTGTTGTTTTTAAGAATGTAATAAATTATAATCACATGAACTCACTACACTGTATGTTTAATTTAGGAAGATTTAAGCATAAAAAAAAAAAATCTATTGTTATGCAAAATGCATTCCTTAGTGATGACAACAATGTAAAAACAATGAACAATGAAGGAAAAAACAGAGTCCAAAAAAATTTTTTTTTAAAAACCCCCAAAAGATTCTGCTTCCATTTCATTTGTCACGCAGGAAATGAAAGGTCAACTTGAGAGCACTGCATTGTGGGACACTGTATCTCACACTGTGCTTTAACAGGCCATTTGAGTATTTTGTGCATGCAGAATACATACTGTAAAAACATACTGTTGTGTTTAGTGTAATAGGATATTCTGAACCTTTCAGCAGCAAATCCAAAGCTGATTCCTCACCTGTCAAGCCCCACCAAGTGGGACAGCGGCTGTTCAGTTTGACGACACCCGACGCAAACATCAGCCGAAACAACAGCCAGCGCGCCAGCCAGAAAGTCACGTTGTCATGGAGACGCACCTTTGAAGACCAGGGCATTTTCATGGGAGCGATGAGAATGGCCAAGAAGCCCGTCTCCAGCAAGAGGTTATCCATACTTTGTATTATAATTACATTAGACACTATATTACATGATGTTTTATATATAATGATACATGATACAACATAAAAATATCCACTGTAATTATATTTTTGATTATTTTTTTCTTTTCAAAATTTTACATTACATTTTACATTCAATACAGTTTAAAGATAGCAAATGAGACTAAATTATTTAAAATACTTCTAAAAATCCATTTAAAAATATAAATGATGTAAATATGTATTTAAAAATGTATGCAATTAAAAACTATGTATTGTAATATATATTGGCCATTGTTTTGATTATCAGCATCAGCCAATGACCTGGTTCAAGGAGTTTTCAGATACTAATTTCTGTTTAATTTTTAATTTTTTAGAAGTTTTTAGGGGGAAAAAAACATGAGCATTTTATTTTTTTGCTGTCAGCCATAGGCCACCTGTTCTCTAAATATTGCACAAGCCAGTGATAACCACATATTGGTCTACCACTACACTAGTGGTATCAGTGCTGTATGTGAACGGAGTCTGTACCTGGTAGAGGGACAGATAGAGTATCCAGAGCACCAGGAAGACTCTGCAGTCTCTGAGAACCGGCAGAGCCAGAGTCATTAAACTGAGCAGAGCTCCGGTCAGACTCAGCAGCTCCATGCACTGCTGCGTGTCCAAACCCAGACGAGGACCGAACCACAGCAGCATGGGAGAATCCTTCAGCTGCTCCACAACACTCTTCCCAGACACCCGCAGCTGCCACCGCGCCGGCAGCACACCCTCGTTCCCATACAGACCTAAAGACAAAGAGAGAGAACTCACATAGTCAATGCCGCAAAATGCTTTTTGATTAGTGACCTAAAAATGGTGCAGAATCTGAAAAGTGATTCATTTTATGTCACAGTGTTACTTTAAGTTTTAGATTTTGCAGAATCCTAAAACTTTATTTCCAGGTTTCAGGTCCCACATTGTTTATGTGTTTATATGACTTTTGGACCCTACATGGCACTTAATGATTACTATATTCATACACTATGAAATTTACACGAAAATACATGAGAATACCCTGGTAAATTGCGGGGGAAAAAAATTATAGTATATATGCTATAATACTATAATAACAAATATTGGTAGGATATATATATGGTGTATATTATATTTATATATATAAGGCTCCTATGTTTATGTTCAGTTATTTCCGATATATGAAATGCATTTCCTCTTAAGGCTGTAATATTCAGACTTCCCAGATTTTAAAGGGATCATATGATGCTATTTTAAAGATCATTATTTTGTGTATTTGTTGTAACAGAATATGTTGACATGCTTTAATGTTCAAAAAACACATTAGTTTTCAAATACTGTACATTATTGTAGGTCCTCTATGCCCCGCCTCTCTCAAACACGTCGT